AAATCAAAAATAATTTTTTTTGCATATCTTTACGTTTCAGAAGTTTCTGAACATTTTGGCATACCCCTGAAAAAATTTATGTACGTGTGCGGATACACATTTTTGTTGACGATTTCGGGAACATAGATCAAACGATTTGAATAACTTAGAAAATATTCGATTCGTGTTAGGGGAGATGTGGTTATAAGTTTTTGGCAAAGGCAGGTCCAGTCGTAACGGTTACACGGAGCAAAAAGTGGATTTTGTCTCTAAAACAGCTACGCAGCGCGATTGCTTTCAGAAAAATATACGAATTTTCAAAAAAGAAATCAAAATATTAAGAAAAATTCAAATTTTTCAAAAAAGTCCATTTTTTTCAAAAATTTCAAAAATCTAATTTTAAAGCTTTTTCGTTTCAAAACCGTGTCAAGTGTCAATTAACCTTTACTTTTTGACTTGGTGTATCCAAAAAGAGAAAAAAGTCGCTACCAGTTTCCGTCGTGACTTCATGTTTGGTATTCGTCTGAATCTGAATAGAAAAGAAGTGTCCGCCTCGGCATACAAAACGATTCATTTTGATTTATATTATATATTCATGGCTTTATAATAACAAACGGATATTGTCCACCGGCTACCACCAGGACATAGAATAATAGACTGGCTTGTATAGAAATTAGTGGTGAATTGTATATATACTACTTTAGTAAAAGAAAGTCACAAACTTTGGATTTTTGCTTAAAAATATGACTACAGACACATGAAATTTTTATCATGAAATTTTTGTACTAATTTCTATGAAATTAGCAGAATTTATACAAACAACTTTCTTTTATTAAGATGTTTGTTTGTAATGTCTTAATTTCATATCTGGTTATGCTAATTACTAATAATTTATTAGGAATTATCAGAAAATATACTAGAAAGTCTAAACGTATTTGTCTTACTTTAAATTTATAAAATGTTTTTTTATTCAATTATTACAATTAGAATTGACAGTACCCTGTACGATATAGGGCTGAATTATACATAAGTATTTATTCATTTTAAAAAACTAATAAATCAAAGTAATTTAAAAAAATCTAATACCATATGCAAATATATATGATAAGAATTGCTCCAATAAACAATGAAATATGGAATAACTTTTTTTAATATAAGAATGTACTTTGCATTTTTTACTTCGTTTTTGAAATTAAATATTATAAATTTTACTTCAAGTGTGTATAGTCATAGTAATGATATTCACTTTGTTGATCAAATAATCAATAATAAAGAATGTACATTTTTTACTTTGTTTTAGAAATTGTACATTGTAAAAATTATACTTCACGGATATTTTTTGGTATATTTTTTTAAATGATCTAATTATTTTAAATAATAAATCATATTTCTTACTTTTTTTTTAAATCATACTTCAAATATGCATATTTTTATGATAAAATTTTCTTTGTTTTTAAAACGATAAATACTGAACATTTCTACACCTTTTTAGGAACTGTAGATTATAAATTATACTTCAGGGTTGCATATTTTTTATAATCATATTTATCATATCATATATTGCTATTTATTTATGTAATTTTAAAATTTTTTACCAAAATTAGTACATAATGAAATAGTTAATTTTATTAGCTTAGATCATCATATAAAGTTCCTAACAAAATAATATATTTTTGCGCTTGAAGATATTTATATTTTGTATAAAATAAAGAAAAATAGTTCATAATTTACTTTTTTATATTTAAACTAATAATTTAAGAAAAACAATGAAGTTCTCATACAAAACTCGAAAAAAAACTGATGTCTGGCACAATCAGGCGCCAAGTCCTACGATTTTATCAGAATAGTTTTAAAAGCACTTATAAAATAATCTTGTGCTTTATGAAAAAAAAACTACTTATACAAATGAATTTATATTTTCAGAAAAATTCTGAGAATTTCACAGAAATCGGTATTAAAAATTAAAAGTAAAAAGATGACCTTACATTTATTGCTTTATAGATGAAAAATTATTGGGTAGATAAATGTTGAGAAGCATAAAATATGTTAAAAATGTAGTGATTACAAATAATTAAAAAATAATTTACTAAATTTCGACTTTCAGCAGTAAACATTATAAAAAACAATTATCTCTTGATTAGTGAAAAAAGGGAATATTGTATTAAAGATTACTAAACATTATTCATATGTAGTCGTGCAAAAAAATTCCGAATTATGAATAATATACAAAAATTTTAAAAATGCTATATGGAAGAAAATAGCGATGCATATGTATATGTTTATTATATATTTAGAATTTAAGTTTGTCTAACTTTTTCATACCTCATAAAATTCCCCTACTAATAATGAGCCTTGTTAAAATGTCAGAAAAATATCAAACAAAAGGTTAAAAATTAAAAATGATACATAGCCGACATGATAATAACACGGTTAGTGTAACGATAAATTTACATAAAAATACTAAAGTGATTTTTTTCATTTTTGATCTTCTTGCAAAAGACAATGATGGTATTTTTTCCACGTTAATTATGTGATTGAACTCGACCGTGTTCGGTCATGAATCATATAAGATTTGAGGTCAATTTTAGGAAAAAACAGTGAAGAAAAAAATTAGTCATCATAAAACACAAAAGAAGATCATTTAATTATGAAAAAAACGGTCAAACGGTTCATCCTTGCAAAAATGACTCCCAAATTCCAAAAGATTTTTAATTTTCAAAATCGTTTCAGGATTTTTTGCGTACTCTTGGATGAAAAATATTGCACTTTAGTGCTAAATGGAGTCTTCATGGTCATCATCGAGTAACATTGATTAAATTTTTAAAATAGGTTCAGTAGCTTTTGGAAAACCCGCAAAGATCCACTAACTTCTACATATATTTTTTTATGCATACGTTTTCCAATATCAATATCAAACGTTTCAGAATGTTTTGAAACGTCTAACAAACATAAAATTAGCATGCAAAAATATAAAACTTTTCTGGGAATTTAAAAAATATGATCCAGTATCCAACCCACCGATTGGCCAATCCTGTTTTGTTTTAAAAAAAAAGCAGAAAAAATCTCGCACATATTTTCACATACAGACAACAAAGTGTGAGAAATTTTATTATTTCGTCTTCTTTGTTTTTTCAATCACTACTTCACTCATATTATCTTACATACAGTTTTTATTCTCTCCTTAACAATGGAACAATTTCGAAGCAAAATGTTGACAGAGCAAAGATTTGTTCAAAACAATGGATTGCAAAATTGGGCGTTCAATTTTAGGTCGTTAATCATGACCCAATCTTTTTGTAAGAAGAAAAAATATATGTGGTATAAGAGATTTTTAGTTTTTCATCTCCGATTGGATATCTCTGATTCGTCTTGGTATAATGCACGCTTTCATGCAACTACATATATGTAATTTATTTACTTTTCAGTCAGTCGAATGCATCCATACTATTAATAACATAACATTTGAACGAATCGCGCTTTCTTTAATGGATGTTTCGATTAAACGATTTATATGCAATAAATCGATCAAACAAATCATCCGATAAATTAACGATTCGAATGCAACGCCTCGATTTATTGTACGGACATGAAATTTGATATTTGCTGTTTGCTCTTTTGGCGGCAAATAATAAATAATTCACCTAAAATTAATCAATATCCCAACTAATATCTTTCGAACAGTTTTTGATTTTTTAAATTCGATTTGGTAGTATAAGCTTGAATGTGGACGAAAAAAATAACATTTTTTTTCGAATTATGAAGAAACGGCTCGACAGATCGTCTCGCAAAACTGGCAAACTATAGTCCTCATTGAGATACATCAAATGGCTTTTAAATTTCTGAAATCGGTTCAGGCGTTTTTGAGAACGTTGGTCAAAGGTCTAATCTTGACAAATGCCAAAAAAACGATATTAATTTTTGCAAACTTTGACGAATTTTAAAATTAAACGATTTGTCGTAGGGCCGTAATATATTAATATGATCTATAAGGCTATGGTATCTACCGTAAACAAAATCGTAAAAATCGTCAAAAAAACATACACACACACACATACACATACATACACATACTTTTTCGAAAGTTGATCTCATTCGATTTAGAATGGCTTCAAACGTCGAGAAAACAAAATTAGCTATTAGATTTTTTGAAGAAAACAAACTTCTCCTTCGGGAAGTTAAAACTAGTGGTGCATGGCATCGTGCCTTAAGGCAAAATGCTGGAACTTCCCTTACCAGAATTAAATATTCGAGGAACTATTGATATAGCTATTGATCAAGGATTAATAACAATTGTTCTAAATATTCTCAAAGATAATTATAATTAGTAAATATTTATTCGTTTATGTAATATAAAGTGACGATGTTATATTGTAGGATTTTATGTAACAAATAATGGAATTATAGGTATTTTTAATAGTCGGTAATGCTTCAAGAAGCTTCATTTAAACAAAAGTGATTTGTGTTTAATGTTTTGTTTTAAGTTTTTCTTTAATGAAGTATTTGATATTTGATATCCCCGGATTAGCAAAACTAAAAATGCCGTCGCGTTTTGATTTTAAAAAAATATGGTCACCTTATTTTTAGAATTTTTTGGCACACATCCAGAAATGATTTTAATTAATATTAAACGAATAAAAATGTTTATTAGTGTTGCTGAGAGTATTATCAATAGAAAGAAAAATAGCAGTAAATGTGTTCATCATACGACTTTTATATAGATATTATATTATTACTATACGAGTAGATTTAAATAAAACCTACTTTTGGACACCACTGTTAAGAAATCGAAGCGTGTATATTTTTTTATTACTCAATGACAAAGAGAAATGCAATGTTACTCCAGCCGTGTAATGATAACAAATGGATCGATTTAAATCTTATGTATACGAAGAACCAGAGATCGTTTGTTTAAGAACTTTCAGTTTCTATATTGTATTATAGAAACTTACACTGACAATTTTAAAATTTGCATAGTGGTGACTTTAAAGCTTATAGAATAGAATTAAGCACAAATCGTGTACCTCTTCATTTTTAAGCAGCGTTCGTGTTTGCAGTGCAAGCTGTTCCCAAACCAAAACTTACCTAAAATAGAAGAAAATAATTATTAATATTGATAATTGACATATTTATAAATACAAAAATCATTTTTAGAATCTATAACTCTAGAAATGACTTAATATCTACTTAAAATTTCTTTTAAGTCTTAATTTCTCACCTAACTGTGATAACTTTTAAAGTGATGCACCAATTCTGGCGAAGGGACAAATGAGGTCCCTTTGAATATTTTTTTACATATATTGAAAATTTTGTAGTTACATCATCTTTGCAACTTATTCTCACATAAGTTAGAACCCAATAAGAGTATTTTTCTATTTTTTTTATATTAAATTTTATTAAAATCCACTAATGAGGTTTTCAAATTGGAAGAAAATGCGCAGCGTCTGATTTAAGAATGTAAAGTAAGATGATAAATTTATTATTTTTTTTAAATAAACTGTTCTGTTTCTGAGTTTATTTATTCATTCAGTATGTTTGTTAGTGAAATGAATTTAGTATAGGTCAGTAACCAAACATTGTTTTTGCCTCGTCGCCAAGGTTAATATAAATAGAATCAGCGACCAAAAAGACATCAGGCATATGTATGTGCAAAGAATTAATAATGAAGGCGCCAGTAAAAAAAAAGATGTTTGAATTTGAAAATATATTGATCAATATAATCGCAAGCTAACTAAAGTTGAAACTTTCATTGATAAATATAATCAAAAAAAATTTTTAACAATTACGAAGAAAAGCTCCGGCCGACAGTTACCCAAAACGATTCCCAACTAAGATCTGTTGAACAATTTTTGAGTTTGGAAAAAAAAATAAAATTATCAAATCGTATTTTCTGGTGTAAACAAATTTCTTCGGTAAGTAAAAGAAGAATTTTATTTTATTTTAATTCACAAACTGACTTTAAATAATCAGGTTAAAATATAAACATAGTTAAAACCAAATAGGCAAAATAAAATGATTAAAAAAATAAGAAATTTCTAATGATTTTAATATCAATTCCCCAGGAAATTTTATTTCAATAGGATTATAAACTGAATACTTAAGAATATTAAATTTGCATTTTTGTAGATAACTTGAGGTAAATTATTTATATCTGGAACGGATTTTAAATTGGAAATAACATCGAGGATGATCACTTGAGTTATAATCGTCAAATAATGATAAAAATGTATTATTTTATTAATAAAATGTCTAGTACTGATAATGGATTTAATTAAAATGCAAAGATAGTTGCACATGACTGCGTTACACTAAAATAACTTATCTGAAATTGTTAAATAAATCTGAAAAAAATTTGTATGTAAAATATGTTATTCTGATAAGATAATGTACATAAAAAAGATATAAAATGTACTATTCCTCCACTAACTATAAATCACATAATTTTTAAAGGATAACATTTTTTAACTTCAAAAAATACTTCAGAGTTAATTGTTAATTTTTCACGAGAATTAAAAAACTTTCCGAAGAATGAAATCATGTTTTTCGAATTAAAGGAATAGAAGGGTACTACTTCATAATAAAATAAGCTTACAAAATGTAAATTATATATGTTGTGATTAAAAATATATGGAATGTATAATATATAATAAAGAAAAAAAGTTTACAGTTACATCCAAAATTATGAAAAATTAGGATTAAATTGAACTTTGACAAAATTTTGATTAGTCACAAACTTTTCCTATTACAAAGCAAATATTTGGGCTAAAAGCCCAGCTGGATTTGAGTTAACATTTCTTGTGCTGAATTCATGAGATATTTCAAAATCCATTTACAGTTATTTTTAAAACAAACTATTTTTGGTGTAAAATCCCCCTGAGCGAACATGTGCAAAATGTTACCATTTCATCTCTTAAGCTGGTAAATTCTTATAATTTGCTCTCAGAAAATACACTTATGTTAAATGCAGAAAAAATACGAATGCGATGGTAATATATTTATGTATCTTGTAAAAATAAATGCAATTGTTATAATTATAAATTGATTATGTATATTTCAAGATGAAGTCACTAATGATGAAATAATAAATCAACTTAAAATTCATTTTCAAAATGAAATAAAAGGTTGCCAGTTGATATGCTGTCACAATATTTATAAAATAAATTTATAATTTGACATCTTGATTGCAATCTTAATTACATACAACATCATTAATATTTATATCACTTATGATGATATCAATCAACTGTCTTGATATTAAAGAATTGGTTTAATGGTTTTGTTGGAAGATCAACAAAGAAATGGAAATAATGGTTTTGTTAGAAGATCAACAAAGATAATTTCTCCAAATATTATTCAAATTTACATTAGTTATGATATCAATCAACTGTCTCTAAAAAAAATATTGATTGACCACTGTATCATTTTTATGCATTTTTTGACCTATATAACAAAGTTTTCTAAGAAAATTGCGAAATTTGTAAGTAAGATTGTTTCATTGTGCTCCTTTGTTGATTTCATATAATAAAAACAAAGTTGTAAACGGTCATATTGCGCATTGTTTGTAAGTCAAGACTAAAGTAAGAAAAAAATATTTGTAATGCAACTTGATAAAAAATCTTTGAATTATATCGAATATTTAATCTAATTATAAGTTACCTATAATCAGAACTTTCAAATTATATCAATATTAAATGACCTTTTAAAAAAATTAATAAATGCCTTAGCAAGTACCATTTAAAAATCTAAACAGGATTGTAAAATGTAAAGAACTCAATTTGGCTAGTAATCGGTTAGTCAAATGGTTTATTTTTATTAAAAATTGCTTCAGGCGTTTTTCCAAAAAACGGCGACAAAAGGTCAAAAATCGGCTCACTTACGCACACATACTTTTTCCTAAAAAAATAATTTCCAAACACACATAGTTTTTCGTAATAATTTTTTTCCGAAAACAAACAAAAGTTGAAAAACTAACAATTACAATAACAAATTAGAATTCTCCGATTTAATTCATATGATAAATTTTTAAGCAAAAGTCGTCGTCTGTAGACGATTATAAGATAAGGATACATGCTTAGGATAGTAACCTTTGTGATTTAGTAAAATCAATATGGAAATTTAATATGTATATGAAAAATATTCATTTTTGGTCTACCGATATCAGTTTCAGAATTTTTCGAATTGACTGTCAGTTTCTATTAAAAGTTCGTCTCTTTAAATCTTTAAAAATCCTGTTAAAAAGACCATATGGCTTTCTATGGTCGTTTAAAAAGTTCTTCGGAAGCACTCAAGTGAAAACTTAGTTTATTACAGCTGGTTAAGTCAACCATATTATATGTACCCACATTAGAAAACTCAATAAATTTTGTTTAGTCTGTTCTTTAATGAATATATATAGCTTCTCAAAATTTAGGAATAAATTGAACTAAGAATATAGATGGGTTTCATAATTGAAGCCATTTACAATCCAAATTTGTAATTTGGAAATTTGCTTCCTGGTGGTCATGGCTACGGTTTTAGAATTAAATCTGATATCAAGCAGCAGTGATATCAAGTTTCACTTTAAAATGTATATAGCAATTTTTTTTTATTAAATACCCATAGCTCTAATAATCTTATCTACATTGGAGTTCCAAAGAATCAATTAATTTCAGTTTTTGAGGAAAGGCGCTTAAAGAGACCAAGTTCCTCGACAACTTGAATAACCAGTGATATATTATAATAAATGATGTTGAATAAGTTTATGTTTTTAAACATCTCGGTAATGTTAGATACCCAATACCGTGTTTATTACTCGACCGTGACTAACTGTTGTTAACATAAGAAAATCGTGCCTTCGACAAGTACAACAAGAGAGTTTTAAAAAAAAGTTAAATGATGTTCGATGCAAGTGTGGCCAACGGTATATATAAGATTTAAAATAAAATTAAAACAATAATGTACAAGTATGTACTTGAGAAACTATTTATATTAGTTATACAAGTTAAACCTTGTTCAACACGTTAATCGCCAAGTGAGTCAGTCGTATGATGCTAAGAAGTTCTACACGAGCCAAGTCACATATTTTTGCAATATGCAATTTGGTAGGAGAAAAAATGTTTTAATATAGGGCCATGTTATTCATATATGACGTATGACGTAAATGTTTCATAAATTTTCAGAAAAAAATTTCTTTGATACATTAAGTTTCCTTCAGCAATTTTAAACTAAATTATCTAAAAAAAGTTACCATTGCCCATCTGGAGATGTTTTTGATATCGTGGCAATTAACGTGTTAATATTAAAATTAAAAGCTAAAACTAAAAGAATATTTCTAACTACATTTAGAAATTAAGTGTGAGTTAAACCTGATTGCCCACAAACAAATTTTGGAGGCCTTTCTGAACTTATTGACAGCTTTTCGGACTCTGTAGAAGTTATTTATTAGAATTTGTGTTTTTAATTTTGACAAATTATAAACAGATTTCGGGAAGTTCAAAAACAATAATGTTTCAATTATCCAAATTTTCTGCTTCCTTAGATTTAATTAACGACATCGTGATCTAATTATAAGAATAGACAGAATAGAGATTTATCTCTTCAGTCGAGTAATTTGATATGTTTGTTTTTTCTGTCCTCATAGTTAGTCTTACATTACACGTTGTCATACAAATTTGCTGAATCTTCATATTGTTGTTCATCATATTATATATATGATGCGCTTCATGGCCGTGACAGATTTCAAACATCACATCAAAAAATTAATTCTGAGAAAAACTATATTTTATGCACATATACACAGGATGTTTCAGAAGTCAATGTGAAGCCAAACAGAAAGTTTTTTTTTTCTATAATATTTTTTTCATTATGTAGTACTTTTGTTATGAAGTTACATCGAGTGGTTTTAAAAATTTTCAATTAGATGATTTTGCCGTTTGAGAAAACGACAAAAGATCAAAATAATTGGCTCATACACATTTTTCCAAATTTGCTTTAAAATGATTCAGAATGACTTGAAACGTCGAGAGCATAAAATTAGCAAAATTTATAAAAAATTCTCTCTCTTCTGTTAAAATTTCATATGTCTATTTCAAATGAGTCATATGTTA